ATCTAACGAAGGAGAACAGAACAAAAATACAAGTGACTAACTACAGTGCAGCAATCAGACTGGAAAGAGGCAAAACATAGGTGTGGGYGAGAACATTAGAATGATTAAGACCAGCTCTGGGATTTAACAGAGGATACAAGTCAGTGCCTAAGCGAGAGACTCTCGAACAGGACATGTATTGGGATATGAGGGAAGTTATGGAAATGACAGTGAGAAGAATGAAGAATGCCATCAGATGTCAAACTGTACAGTCACCACAGTGGGCTTTTCAAAAACTACAGCATAAAACTTACAGCAAGAGAGGCCAAATGGATTGGAAAGTTGAGAAGTGAAAAGATCAGGCAGCAGGTTTAAACAAACAAACAAGAATACTTTTTCCTCAAAGCACATAATTCAGTTGTTGCCCCAGGTTACAGTGAAAGCTAAGACAATCAATATTTTTGTAAAAGGACTGCACAGGCACATGGAATATAGATAYATTATGGTTCAACAGCAAGCCTCAGAAATCTCAGAGGGAACTCTGGTCTGATAAGTTCGGAAAGGATCTAGCATTTAAAAATACATTATAAATTATCAATGGGGATATAATTTAAGGAAGACATGTAGCAGCTTTTGTTTGCAAAAGAATAGTGTGTTCAAGAARAATGCATTTGAGAGGCTGACATAAAATAAAGATGTTAAACTATCTTTTATTCTCCAGAGATATTGAATTATTCTTCAGAGATATTCTTAATTCTGGCAGTATGAACTGCCTTAACTACGAACAGTGGCCAACCCATGTTCAGATCCAGATTGCTTTAAAAGATAATTGACACTTAACACATCATAGCTCTATTTCAATTAATTGAAATCATGGCTTTARATTGGCAAATATTTTTAAAAATTTGCTTTCAAATTTTACTTTCTTTTAAAGAAGTCTGCAAATTACAAAATGCTGCTGCTTCCAATTAGAAGAGAATATCCCATGCTATGGAGTTATGTCACCTCCTGAACATGATGCTGAACTAAGTTTTCCACAGTGACAGCTGGAAGTTATGAACTACAGCTATATACATAACAGCTGTGTCTTTAGTGTGATTATGATGGACCAGCTCCTTTCTCAACTGCAGCTAAATCAATGCACTTATTACCTACGCTTTGCAAGTAGAATCTATGTTCTTGGGTAGAGCATCATGAATTTGACAGTAAGCTCTGTTTGCTGATGATTAACGACTAGTATTTGGACAAAGGTAAACAAAAATTCCTAATAAATTGAAAGAGTCTGAAAATTGCCTGGAGCCCATTACCAAAGAAAGGGTGTAATATATCTAGCTGGAATGTGCACTTCTAAAACATTGAGATCGCCAATTATAATATAGAAATGACAACAGCTACAGGCATTAAAGATTGTGCCTTCGTTACTGCATCAGACTAATGCTTGAGCAAACTACATGTCTTGCCTTTGTACTGCTGCCTATAAACTCTGACTTTGTGCCCACCTTCCTGCTTCATGAAGTGTTTTCTTCACATTTATTATTAATAATAAATATTAAGAAAAATGAAAGCAGCAGCTGTATTGATGCAGCAAAGCAACATGAGCACATTTAATAGACAATGCCTTTTACTTAATTTAAATATATTCACTTTCTCTGAAGTCAAATTTCTTTAATTACATTACAAATCTAAAAAGACTTTTTATGTTATCAAATAGTAATTATATTATACAGATTGTCCTTCATCTGCTTATAGCTATATTTATTTCAACTGCCTTCACCTAGCATCAAAATACTATTACCTCATCTTCACTTAAAGTGGGAAAAATTACCATTTTTTCCACATCATCTTATGTCTAGGTTGACCCGGTTAAARGCATTTGACTCTTCTTGATTTGTTTATATAATTAATTTGCTTACACTTAATCTCTAATTATGACAGACAACATCTTTTCATTTTTCAGGCATGATTCTCTCTATCCTGAAGCTGACTAAATATTTTTGGGGGGATATGGAAGAAAGTAGTAGATAAAGTGCATTAAAAGTGGGTTGTTACAGGGGTAAAAGGAATAGAGGCATTGTGGAACTTTTGCAGTCGAAAATTTCCTAAAATAAGGTCTGGATGGAGGAGGAAAATATAGAGGAAATCTCAAAATGGATGAAAAAGTACAAGTTGTGAACTAATTGCATTCCTTTGCCTGTGTAGACAGCAGATACAGTGCATTGACATCCCCTGCCTTTCCACATATGCTCACCTGGAAAAAATACAGCCATAGTCTCTTTCTAAACTTGGTCATGTGATTACTCKTCTTTCTCTCCATCACTACAGCTTTTCAGGGCCCAGGAGCTTCCTGGAGGAATTATTAGTTGCTTGACATTTGTGGAGTTGAACTTCCAGAGACTCAGCTAAGGGTCTACTAGTGGCCAGGGCATTTATGCCTCCTCCTCATAGATTTGTCAGTTCACCTTTCCTAAACCTTATTTCCTTGACCTGCAATTCAAAGAAATCTCTGAAAAYTCCCTCACGGAGTCGTCTCTCTTCTCTCACATCTTTATGAATGTTTCTCCCCTTATGTGATATCTGGAACATGTCTGTATTGGAAATSTAAGATTCAAGGTAAAAAGGACATGCTTAAAGGACACAGAATCATAGAATCACAGAACTGAATCATAGAATCATTATGATTGGAAAAGACCTTCAAGATAATTGAGTTCAACCATAAAAGTTGTTCTACAAAGAAGCAAGTAAATTAAATAATAACAACACATTAGGCACAGGGAAAGTAATGAGAAATCAAGTAATTCTACCAAATATATTTAGGAAAACACAGAAAAATGTCTTCTATTAAAAGGAAGGAAGGCATCTTCAGGAAGTTGTGAAAAATAGTTTTGCTAGAAAAAAAAAGGAGAGAGAGAAAGTGATAATAATGTACTATGCATGTGAATATAATGAACTACAGAAGGGATAAGATGCTGCACAAATTGATCTACATAACTAATTGTGTTATACTTGATAAAATAACTGTGTCACTCTTTTTTGTACTTAAAAAACTTAACAACAATTCTGAAATGCAGTTAGTTATTAAGCACTAAACATCATCACATACTCTGTCATACTTCTTCTATTGTTATGGAAATCTAGGAAGCACCTGACATTTATCTTCTGTAGTTCTAACACTAGAATTGCAGAAATGCAATTAGGAAAAACTCCAGCATTCATAACAGAAAAGGTCAGCAATGTTCAAACTAAACCTGATAACATGCTTAATGTGCTGCCAGACAGAGCAGAATGGCTTCTCGATAATGAATGATTTTACAGACTGCTATGAAGCCTTTATAAGATAATCAGATCAACAGGGGACATGCCACTAAGACACACAGCTGATCATGAAATATTCTTCGGTAGGGGCATGTTGTAAAGTCACCACTAAGGGAAAATTCACTATTACAAAAGGCCATGTTTTCAAAAATTATCACATAAATAAATTGGGCACACCACACAAACCACTGAAATGTCAACATTTGGTAAAGTATGGAAAGCTGTTACTCCATCAAGAGGAGTGCCTTTTGTGCATGCATCCAACAACCAATACAACACTGTCTCTGAGATTTAAAGCTTGTTTTTTTTCTTTTTCTTTATAGTAATCAATGTAAGTAGAGGTTAGAGGTTTTAGCTTTTGTATTTGTCTTAAACATAGAAATACTCACACGGAAGTACAGGCTCCATGTTCCTCCTGCAAAGACCTCCTCATTATTTGTGCCACTAATCCTATGTAAACTAATGGTGAACTTTAAGAGAATGAAAAGTAATCTAAGGGGTTMTTTTGATAAATTACAGCTCAACAATAGTGCCAAAAAATAGCTAATTACTGAATGCTGAAAGTAGCATTTATTAGAAGTTAACTGCCAAATACCTAACAGTAGGTTAAATCTTTAGAGAAAATACTGTTGAGAGCTTGCAAACACCCAAGAAATATGCATTTGTTACACTTCATGTCATTATGAGCAGTCTACATGCTTTTCATTTCTACTTACAGACTACAACTTGCATTAGATATTGTTTCATTTTATTTTGTCATAGTTATAAAATGTGGCATTTGTACACAAAAGCTAGAAAAATTGTATTTGGATAGGAGCACGATGGAATTTTTTTATCTCTAAATTCTCCTATCTTCAAATTCAAATGCAAGAACTCCAGGAATCATTTCATACGCACCTGCGATAAGAGAATATTTTATTTTGAGACTGATAGGTCCATGTTGCAGTACTTTGATAAAGGCATATGCTATTTTGTATTATCTGAGTTATATCAAACTATCTGAAGATTAACATAAAAGCCCTTATTCTTATAATGTGACATATCTTCTTAATTAATTAGGTATAAAAATTGATTGTAATTTGTAATTGTAATTGATTATAATTGTGTAAACCTTCATGGTTTTCCTTTTTCTTATAAGTATCATGAATTTAGGTCACTACATATTTTTGAGGATTAATTAAAGTATTAGGCCAAATATTCCAAAGCATCTTTATGATCATCAGCTAACTTTTATAAGCTGAACTTGCTCAGTAAGTAGCACTTTATAACTTTTTTGAAACAAACAAAAACAAAAACTTGATRCCTTGTCTATAGCAAACTATAAAAAAGCCTCAAAAAAGGTATTTCACTATTTCCTTCAATGAATCCTTTTGTAACCAGGCAGTAGGTGCCTAAGGCAATTATTTATGAAACGGTGTCCAATATATTGCAAAATGTTTTTCCAGGTGCTTACTTAGCAAGAAGTTTGCAATRAAAGAGAATATATTTTGTAAAGAAATGAATGAAGTATGTCAATAAAAGGAAGTAAACATATTCCCCATAACTAGATGGTTAAGTAGATGATTGTAGCAATAAAAGTGCAATTACAAATTTTTCTGACTATTTTTAGCTTTTTCTGGCTATTCTCTTACGTCAACATAAGCACTTGCTTGTATTTGTTTGAAGTGATACTTATGCATATCATGCAACAAAAAATGAGAGGTACTCACCATGTACTATCAGGACATATTCTGTGCTGTTTCGGCCAATAGGATTTTTTGCTTCGCATCGATACGTGCCATTGTCCGTTTTGTTAAGGAAGCTGATGCTTAGGACCCTGCCATTGACAACCATTCTTTCCGGATCCGGTAGCTCTCCACCATCCTTCGTCCACAGGACTGGTTCTGGCCTGTCAGATCMAAAGCAATACATTTGATCATATTCGTGAAACATATACTGTAATCTAAACAGTAGAAGCTGCAATGTCAGAAACTTAAGAATAATATCGTGGCATCAAAGAATAGTCACTGCTCATTTGAATTACTGGGTGTAATGAATTATAAGCTGGTACCACCTAGTACCAGATGACAACTATCAGAGAAAGTGAAGAAACAGGAAGGAGAAGGAAGAGAAGAAGAAAAGGAAACAGAATGGTATAAAATGATCGATACAAGCAGMAGTCTTCCTTAAATCAAAAACAGGTGCTAGGCAAGCTGTTGGCAGGACATTTGACAAGCTATATGGAAACAGTTTCCTGTGTGGTAGATAAGCATCAGAAATCATGCATGCTGAGGTAGATTGCAAGAAGTGTGGGAATGGATTCTGAAATTACTTAGGCTGTTCATGTTGACACATTCCTGCACATGTGCTGTGTCTGCTTCTTGAATCAGGCATATCAATCTCAAAGCAGCACAACTTACAGGGAGTCTAAATGTGTTTCTGTTGCTGCATGGACTTGTGTTGTAGCCTATCCCTTTCTTCACCTGCCCTCCTTCCCCAAATAACTGCTTCTTACATGTGTTACCTCAAGGAAAAGAAGATTGACTCAAAATCCTGGATTTTCTTTCTGTGAAACCTCTCTTCTTTTATGTCAAAAACTCACATGAGATAGACCAAAGGAAAGGACTGACAGTACCAACTTCCTAGCCAAGTCAAGGACAGAGGAACCCACTGTCATGTAGACACCTTCGTATCTTCCCATGGTCAACTGATAGTTGACTCTTTCCCAAAGATGCTCAAGAAGCACCAGACTTAATCGTATWTGTCTTACAGATACCAGGAAGCATTTATTACTTGTATGGAGGCTTTACCTGTTGCAAGATCTACTTTTAAATTCACRTAAAGGAAACCTCCATAAAGATAGGTCCACGATTACAAACAAAAAGTTGGATTACTGATTCCTGAATATCTCATGAACAGATGTATGTCACTAATTGCTGTCAAGAGCAATTCTATATTTGTACATTTTTTTTGGYAGGAAAACATTAAGCAAAGTATCTGATTGTGCAAGTAAGCAATTAAAAAAAAACAGTAGATATCAAATAAATCACTAGTCTTACTCATAAAATATTTAGTTTGATTAACTTAAGCAGGTACTATTAAATAAAATGAACTTTAGTAATAAGAATTAAATATAAATACCTACACAGACATATTTTGCTAAATGGTGGTGTAATGCACAGAAATATATATTTCTAATGACTACAGTAACATGATTTACACTTATATATTTTTATACAGTCTATCTAAACAAAGCAAAGTTGTCTGAAATTCACTTATTTATGCTACTTATTTAGCAAAAGACCATATGTTTCTCTGAAAAGTATCAGAGATTTATGCACGTTTTAGCAAGATTTGAATTGCACCTTGATAAATCAGTGCTGAAGTTGCTACCTATATTGGCTGTTTTCTGAGGCTACAATTTTTTTAACAGTCATATACTCAGGGAATAATCCAAAATTCACACATTTTAAGCCAAGAATTAAAAATTGTGAGTGTAATGGGCCTTACTTATACCTAACAATCGTAATACCAATCATAACACACTTCCTAACTACACATTCAGGTGCTGTGGTCTAAATACCTGCCTCCCCTCCACATTCATGCATGTGCCCTTCCTTCCTGCCTAATCTAAACATGGAAAATTGAGATTGCTGTTACTCCAGTACTTTTTAGAGAAAATGCCTCAGATCAACACATTAAGGTGTGTTTTGCTTTGATTTGTTAAGGTGGATGTGTTCAGTTTTCCAGCAAACTCCTCATTATTTTCAATTTGCTAGTTTACTATGGATTTATAATCCTGGGGAATTGAAATACTGAAAGGCTTCTGCTCGAATGTACACTACTTTCTTCATAACAGGTATGTTAAAGCAATTTCCATATAACGGTAATTTATGGAACTTACATTTCATTGTAAGGACAAAATAACAAGTAACGATGAAATGGTGCTTCAATATACATCATTCAGGAAGCCTTATTGCATCTTACTATGCCAGCTTAAGTCATATGCAGAGTGGTTAGCTATCCCTGCAAACTGATGGTGGCAGAAAAATCATGGCTTAGAAAGGAGAAGCAAATACTCTGGGTGTCAGAGCAGTGTCAGGCAATCTGTTAATTAACTGCTAATATTAAGCCAGTCTGTGCTGGCTTAGTGGTAGCACAGGAGCAACTCCTGGGCAGCTGGCCCGTGGTCAACATGTCGCGGTGACTGGGCACAGCTCTCACTCCATCACACCATTCTCRGGGAGGATGGTGCCTAAAGCAGCAATTCTGTCACAGCCACAAAATTAATTTTTGCCTGTGCTGCTGTGAAGCTTTGAGATGCTGTGGTCTAAGCAATTCATTATTTAGGCAGAAGTGAGTTAAGAACATGAGACATGCTCCAGCATCCAGGCCAGCACACTGCTGCTGACAGTGATATCTGGAGCAGTTGCTTAGGGAAAGCATGTGAACATAGCAGTTTTCTGTGGACCATTCCCCTTGTACTTTGTCCATATTCAGAATTGCCCTATTAGAGATTTTAGAGGGTGTCTCTCTCGCTCTTTTTAATATCTATTTAGTAGCAGACTTTTTGCTGACAAATTTCTCTAATTTCCTTTTGAATCTGCTAAAACTCTGTCAATCGAGCATCCTGTGGCAATGAATCCTGGAAGTTTGCTACTACTGCTTTACAAAAATATACTTACTGTGACATGTCTTACAATGATGTCCTAGTCAATGCAATGAATATTGCAGGATATGGTAAGTAACAGCTATATATTAAAACCTGCATATTATAACCTTATTATAAGTCATGATAGCCTTGTACTTAGAAGGTGGTGATTGATCTATCTATCTGTATATCTTTGTTGGTTGCATATGATACTTTCAGAGATTGTTAAGAGAGAGCTAATTCTCCCAAAAAAAGGACAGACTAAATTTAGAGCGTGTTGGCAACTCTCTGATAATTGTGATAATCTTCATTATCACAAACATGGATGCAGCTGGTATGCTTATGGGAAGCTTTCCTTCTCTGACACAAAACATGTAGAACTATAAATTCCCTATACTTTATCCTGCTGATAATGTTCACAGGTGCATATACACACAAAAGTTTATTCTCTTATCCAAGATTTTGAAAGGGTTCTGGCTTAATTTGGGAATATTTAGGTTTGACGTTCTAAAATACAAGGTAAATATATACACTCTTTATATACACTCCTAATGCTAGTTGTACCATGGGATTTGAGCTTTTTTTGGCATGATAACGTACTTTGCTTTGTGGACTGGAACTAACATGGTATCTCCGTGCTTGTGATTACTCCAAGCTGAATCACACTTACCAGTTTAATTCCCATTTTGTCAGACACTCCTGAAAAACTTATTTCTTGCAGAACAATAGCTATAAAGTTGAGCTCTGTGGTCACTAATGCAATTGTACAATAACACCTTTGCACATTTCATGGCACAAACTAGCTCACTGACCTGTCTCTCACAGCAGTATTATGCTGCCTGTTGGTACAAACCTGGTCTCCCAAAGGACAAATCTGTGCTCCCTTTTTCCCCCAGGATAATCTTGAGGGAGAGGTGCTTTTCTAYATCGCTCTACTTTAATCCCTGTACACACGCACCACAGAGACTATCCATGGGGCACAGGGTGGTAGTGGAGCTGAAGCATTAAGATCCTGTTTATTAACCTGTTCTTATTAGACTCCTAATGTGACCTCATTTAAATAAAGAAACAAACAAACAAGCAAAAAGGCTTCTGYATTGAAGAACTCTTGCAAAGAGAGAGCTCAAGTGTATTCTAAATTGCAGTCCATGCTATTTCTTTGCCTACTGCTTTTACCAATTCTGCTCTGCATGCAAATGCCCAGAGTGGCACTATTAGAATTGCTTTGTACTGGAAGAAGCTGAAGATATTAATCATGCGCAAATTAAAAATGGTTTAAACATGAACAATTACTACACTTCTCCCCACCTCCACTCCCCTGACCTGAACTCTATAATCGCACTGAAGAACCTCTAAGTGGGCTTGATATAATTTCTGTTCAATCTTAATAAAAAGGCCAGGAGGCTTTCAGCAGCTGACCTGATTTTTGGTATAAATAAAAGATTGTCTTAACTGTTTTTAAAAAAAAAAAGAAAAAAGAAAAAAAAGAAAATGCAAGAGATTTTTCTTTTTTTTTTTTTTTTCTTTTTTTTTCTAGACAAAGTGAACTGCAACAGCAGTGAAGATATTAAAACATGTCATGTTCCAGGGGGATTCCGGTATTCAGGCTTTATTCTGTGAAAAGAGAGTTTTCTTGCAAGTAAGCTAACAAGAATTTTTAAATAAAGAGGAATTCTTTTATAATCCTTAAGCTAGTAAGTCTTTGTCTTCTAAAATATGAGAATACAGATTGAACTTTAATTCATTCAAAAGAATGTTTTTTAAAAAAAGTGAAAAATTTGATTGGAAAAAGAAGGGAAAAAAGCATATTTCTGGTAAATCAGTGCTTTAAAAAATTAACAGCAGTATCTTAAAACACGTTAGTTAATTTTCCATCACTTTCTCCAGCCTTACCCACACAAACATGAAGTTACAGTCTTTGCTTACTCCTCATAGTGTTATCTTTCTACATAAGAYGATAATTTCTTTCTGAACTAAGTGAACTTAAGAATACATTCACCCTTATAAGATCTTCATTTTTGTTGCTCTTTCCTGATTTCTGCATACAGAAAGGTCATGAAGAAGCCATGTTTCACTGAGACCTTAGTGAATAACTGTAAGATGGCCTGTCTGCCATAGGATATCCTTTCGATTTTKATACAAACTCACTGCAGTAAAAATAATCAGTGACAGCTGTTCACATAATCAGTCTCACTGAGGATATTAACACTCATCCATCTGGGTATCTAAGCATCCTGTCAAGATATGAAGTCATTGTG